ATCAATAAGAGTGAAGAAGCTTCGCTAACTCTGCTTTTATAAGTTGCCTGCGCACAACATGGCGGTCGTTTAACATTCAGATCAAAGGTGCCGACACAGAATGAATCTACCGTTCCCGCTTATACTGTGCTAATGACGTCCACAACCCTTTTATCGCATCGCGATCGCGCCTCGCGTGTGATCGCGGGACACGAAAGGCACGAGGAAATAAAAATAAAAAAAAAAAAGTCCGCGCCCCGAGTCTCTTCCACCCTCTTTCTCTCTCTTTCTGGATGAACGCCAAATAGTTTGCGAATCGACCTTAGCCCACTTTACGCATTCCAGCTCGCAATCTTTCCCCGATTGTTCCCCGCGCGATTATCGGATTATCACACGGGAATTTCTTGATCCGTCGGCATTCCGTTCAGGCTGACATTCGCGAGTGCCTTAGAATATTTGATAAGAGAAACGCTGGATATATCGCGAGTCGGATGAAAGTTCGCGTTGATGTAAACCGAGATATTCTACGCCGCCGTACGGCTGCGGGAATAACGTTAAATACGATGCTCGAAAAGATGAGGGAATTAATACCGAAGGATACGTTTCTCTCACATTAAATGAATCGCGTTACGAGATATAATGGGGCGATCGGCGGGGGGTGATCGTACTTCACGAAGGCAATTTCCTTTAATAAGCAAATAGAAAAAAGGACGAGTTTAACGCGGCTACCCCGGAGAATATGTCGGAGAAATAAAATTTCTCCCCTCGAAAAGAGTATATACCCACCCCCTTTCAAGAGGGATGCCCGTTTAAACGCGGCGCCCGGGTCTTTACGCAACGCGTAGACGCGCGGCGTGCACGGCGATCCTGCGGGCGATCGCTATTAATTGCTTTAATTGCGGAGATAATTAATACGCGCCCTTTATAATAAAAAACACTCCGAGGGCCCCCGATGCTGCGTATAATGGGCCGCGGCGCAGAGATTCCGGACGAGGACTTTTATTTGCTCCCGGACGTATGAAGCACACCCCCCTCCCCCCTCCCTCACCCTCCCGATTACTCTCAAAGTAACTCTTGCGTCGCCTTTACGGCGCGACTCGGCCTCTATCCGGATGAGTATTAATTGCTGTAATTGCGCGGATAATTGATATTCCGTTTCATTGGAAACGGCACCGGAGGACTCGAGACTGGAGCGAGGCGGGACGCGACGTGCCTTTCACATTGAAATTTTAACCCGATTTGAAAAAAAAAATAGCCGAGGCTCTTTTCAGCACTCTCTTCAAGATGCGTGCAGTACGCCATTATTCGCGAATTCTAGCCAAATTCTGATCAAATTTCTTATGCAACTTTTTTCAATAGTTTGACTAATATAGACATCCATAATTCGGAAGACTCAAGGTTGAATTTAAATTTTGATTGCCGAAAAGGAATTTATAAAATCAAATCTAGCATAGAATAGATGAAAAAGTTATTTCTAATCGATGAGATTGCAGCTACCTCGAGAAAAAATGTTTCATATATAATTATATGTAATTATATATAATTATATATTATTATAAAATTATATATAATTATTTTAAAAATTAACATATTTTATAAACAATTATGTATAATTATATATGAAACATGTCCATATGTATAACATTTTTTCCTGGGTATAGGCGACAAAATAATGTGAACACCCGAGAAATATACTATCTATACTTGTTTCATTAATAAGAAATTGGCCAGCGCGCGCTTATCTTTAATGTACAAGTTTTATCCTTGTTGGAATAATGTTGTACATGCTTGAATAATATAGCAATTGCTACAGTGTATAATGGTGTAATGTTACATCATTCTTCTAACAGAACATCTTTCACAGTTACTTAAGATATTTGAAGAGGAAATCTGTTTTTCGTTCTGCTCTTCAAATCTACAAATAATATTTAAATCAGGCGATTACATTGGCCGGGAAAAGTATTGAAGTTCAAAGTACAGAGGATAATTTTGGAAAATAAAGCGAGAAGAAAATTTCCTCTTCTAATGCCACTTATATGAGCAATTGAAAGATGTTCTGCTAAAGAATAACACAACGTTATATTGGTAAATCAAGCATTATGTGATTATTGAACCAGATTAGAATATGTATTAAAAGCAAATGGACAACCTCTTATTAATAAAATTGAGTGTTTTCTAGTTATTTATATCATTTTGTCTATTCCTTGTATTGTGTGCCAAATAATTTTTTTTATTATACTTCTTGTCGATATACGGCTATAGATAGGAAGGAATTCGAATTCAAATTTTAATCGCTGATAAAAAAACATTTAGGATCACATATAGAGATCATAGAATAGTGAAAAATCAATTTCTAGTTTTCATTTCTAATTGACGTTATTTCTCTAAATTGCAGTTATTTCTCTCGTTATCTCTTTCGAAATGATTTTCGTTACATCTCTTATCGATTATACAGCAATATAGACAGAAGAAATTAGTGAAATTTAATAATATTGCAAAGTCGAATTATAAGACTTTAATCGCCGATAAAATGCATTTATGGGATGAAATATTTAGATTATAGAATAAATGAAAAAACAATTTCTAGTTTTCATTTTTAATCGACGACAAATTGCAGTTATTTTTCTCCCTCTTCCTCTCGTTCTCTCGTCCGGATAATTTTTGTTATACCTCTTATCGATTATATGGACAGGATTATATGGACAACTATGGACGGGAAGGAGTTACTGAAATTTAATAATAAAATTTTCACAGACACACACGCGTGTACCTGTTTCAGCTAACCGGCACGAATTCCGGTCAGATAGCCGCGAGTCCCGAGAGGATTAAATAATTCCAAATTCAAGGGTCGCGCTGACCAAGCCGCGCGCTTTCAGGCCGCGTTAAATATCCCCGAAATTAATTAATAATTTAATTCGCGGTGACGGCCGGGGGGG